CAAGTTTCCTCCCAGCTCCAACAGTCTGACGAGCTACCCTAGGGCCTGAGGGACTCCAGCATGTAGCTGAACTGCAGCCTCGTGCCATCTGTAACGAGGTGTCACTGCTGAAAGTAGCTCAGTAGTAGTCTTGCCAACTGTGCTCATCTCCTTCCCTCTGCTGGTGGTGGTGTGTATTGTATGAACACCCTGGGAAATGTGTTGGCAGGATGGAAGTTTACAGGTGCTGGGACAGCAAGAATCAGTTAGAGAAGGTTGCCAAATAACCCTCTTAGTTCTGAGCAGGGTATGTTTGCCTCAACAGTTTTTGGAACTACCTGGACCTAGTGACTGAAAGGGCATGTGCTAAACACCTGGCAGTGGTGTGTTTCTAGAGAAGCTGCCTCCAGCATTTGGTGAACTGAGTACCTACTTCCTGAGCCTTCAGTGCTCAGAATGTGTGAAGAAATTCCCTGGTTTGTTACACATTGACGGAAGCTCTTAACTCTTAGATTGACAGCTTAATTTAAAATGTGTGCAGTAATGCAAACACTTTCCAGTTGTGACAGTGGGATTAAATAGCTTCTTCAATTCTAACAATCAATCATGAGTTACAGAACAAAGTGTTAAATGAGATGGAAGTCATCATATACTGCCACGCTGTTCTGTATTTACTCAATTGGGAAGTATATAGATGGCTAAAAATGAGCTTAAAGAATCACTTCTGGGAATTGCTTATTACAGCAGAGTAAGGCAACTTTTGGCTTCTATTATATGGACAAAAAAAAACCCAAAATAATGTAGGATTTGGTTTTAATCCTCTTGCTTCTTGTGCAGAACCTTTTTGGGAAGATGGCAGACATACTGGAAAAAATTAAAAAGTAAGTTATCTGAACTGAGTCTTTTTTTCTTCTCTTAAAGTTTGACCCATGTCTGGAACACTAGTAATAAAATTATGTTTCTTTTTTTGTTTTCAGCTTGTTCATGTGGGTCCAGCCAGAAATAACACAGAAACTCTACATTACTCTATGGGCAGCTTTTATTGCATCCTGCTTTTTGCCATACAGGATTATTGGTCTTGCAATGGGTAAACACAATAAATAATTGACCTGTTACAATCTAGATGTAAAACTTAATGTGAACTTTAGAGGGAAAGTTTTAGAGTTTAAGAAAGAAAACCCTGCATTAATAAATAATGCAGTGTTTTAAAGTGTTTGCATTGTGCTTGGCATCATTTGTTATGTGCATTTTGAAAACCATCTCTGGATACATAATATAGTAGAAGACTTGCTAATGCATTCGCTCCTTGAAGAGGGGGAGTTTATGATGAGCTGCTAGCTATAAGACTTCCAGGAAGTCCTATATTTTGGTTATTTTTTGCTCGTACATCCTTGCAAACTAAATATATGGGACCACACAGAAGGCACAAAGATGACAGGGTTAGAAAAAAATGAAAGGGTTAATGGAACTACTTGTAAAAGTTGGAGGATAAGCTGGGCAAGATAAACAGAGTACTGTGGGTGAAGTTGCAGATGCTTAAACTCTCCACTGAGAACTGGGAAAAGAGGGGTTTCACTATAGCATGAAACTGTCTCTTCTTTATCTGAAACCCCATCCTGAGAACCAAGGGTTTGTTTGGTTTGTTTGGTGGGTTTTGTTTTGTTTTTTTTTTCAATTAAAGTATTAATATGATCAAATGAGTATTACTTTTAGTGGCACTGAACTTCAAACTGTGTTAGCTTGAACATAAAAATAGGTTTGCTTGATGTGACAATTAAATTAGTTGTGTGAGGCTTTTTATTATTTTTTTTTTTTTGACTCTGACTCTTGGAAAGAGACCTGAATTGCTCAGTAAAGTTTTGAGAGAGCGTTTCAAGCCCTTATTAATCTGGCAGAATGGAAGGAAATACCTTGTGTAAGACAAGAGGACATAATGGCCTGGAATGACAGACTTTAATGAAGTACATGAGAGCCCTCTGTTGCCATTAAAGTTTTTGCAAGGAAGGGGAGAGTTGAATGCCCTGGTGTGTTTTCTGGTTTGGAAGTACATTGTGTTTTCAGAATGCTTCTGGTAATAAGGAATGTATGCTATAGTTATTTTAATGTTCTTCTGCATAATAAAAAGCTATGTAATTGATTTAAAATAACTGGGGATGGAGAAGGAGGAAAATCTGGGCAGCAGAGGAAAAGAAAAATTATTTCCTGCTTTTGGAAGAGTCAAACTATTAAAACTAAGAGAATGGTGAAGACACAGAATTTGCCTTCACTCATGAACTTGTTAACACATGATCAAAACAGTGGTGGTCCTAACGCCCCTTCAACATGCCTACTAAAGTGACCTTTTTTTTTCAGGACTCTATGCTGGAATCAAGTTTTTCCTTATTGATTTTATCTTCAAACGATGCCCCAGACTGAGAGCTAAGTATGATACTCCTTATATCATCTGGACAAGTCTCCCAACAGATCCTCAGCTCAAAGAAAGATCTAATGCTACAGTGTCGAGACGGGTAAGGGGAATGAATCTTTTTGTCCCTCTCTTCCCAGCATCTGAAAATCAAATCCCTTTTCCCCTTTCCTTTTTCCCCAGTGACTAGAGCACATTAAAAGGAAGGTTAATTAAATTCTAACCGTCAGTGTTAGTTCTATTTTTAAAAATTATTTTCATGATCCACAGTTTTTATATGGATTCTGTTTCTTGTGAGAAATGAATCTGTTATTGAGATGTGTATGTAAATGTATATATACTGGAAATCATATGAAACAAAAATAAACCCCTCCATATTCATACAAATTTCTGTAACATATATTCTGTGTGATCTTGTTGTCAAAATTTAGTCATTTTGTATTCCCCTTCTCTGTTCTCAGGCATTTTTTTTCAGTGGAAATTCAGCTGCTTATGTAGATTGAAGAACAGTTAGGAAAAAAGAAAGGTTTGAGTGTAATATGCATCTTACTAATGGGATAAGTATTAACAGAGGTAATAAAGTAATTTACAGATGTAGGCATTATGTCTAATGGTTATTTGTATTAGATGACCTTTTAAAATAGTGTTGGCAGATGGCTTTTCACCATGTTGGTACTCCAGTGGTCAATTTTTCTTTTGTTAAAATCTCATAGTTACATCTTCAAGTGTTGTGGTTTGTGCATCTTTGCAAATTGTTTTGGGACCTGACACAAAAGCAAATTGTGCTTTTCCGTATCCCTGAATTTGTTAATGTTTATTAGTGTAAAAAGAAAAATTGTTATAATAAATCTAATCCTATTTTAGCATTTGCTTAATGCTTCTTACCACAATATCTAACTACGTTCGTGGCGCATCTGAGTACTGTTGTAAGCTCTTTGACAAAAATGTGCAGCACTTAGCAGTAGTTTAGGCTGGGTACATGACTGGAGAGCAAAAGGGATAAACACGTGAACCCTTAGTTGTTAGTCTCTGAAGAAGAAGAAATAATACAGGTTTCTGGGGGTGACAGAGCAGTTGGGAGTAAAATAACTGCAACATAATCTGAGTATTTCAGAAGAAAGTAGAAGGGAAAGGCAGTCTTAGACAGAAAGTTAGTCTTTTGCTCCAATTTTCCAAGGGATGAGAAAGGTGAATGTGCTCTTGGATGGAGCCATCATTGTATTGCTCTTGCTTGGAAAAGATGGGCTTAAATGTTTTTCTGTGCTTGAGAGGCTTACAGGTTATCATTCATGTACTGTGGTGGTTGTGGCAGCTTTTTACTGGGTCTCTCTAGTCTGCCTTAGAAGTGGAAAGGCTCTGAACTGCTGAACTTGACTCTATACACTTAGAGAGTAATTATCTCTTCTGGCTTTTCCTTATGGATTAGATTTTGTCAAGTAGACCAGGGTTTTAGTACTACAGTGTCTGACTTGATGGACTTGGCTTGTCTGCCTGGAAGTGATGTGCAGGACTGCCCAAAAGTCTTTGAAAACTTTAGTCTCAATAATTTTAGACAGACTTTCTTACCCCGTGAGATATTTCAGGGAACCTCATAGTACAAAAAATAGATCATTGCACAAAAAGGCAAAAACAAAAAAGATTGTGGTTGGTTTTTGTTGTTTTTGTTTTTTTTTTTTTTCCTAGAAAAGGCAGAGCCCAAAGCATGTAGTGCCAGTATATGTGCCTTTGCTTTGGCTTCTTATCATTAAACAGCATACAAGATGCCATAAACCTAGACACAATGCAATATCTATTGTCTGTGCCACCACTCTGGCCCTGTGTCCTTGGAGAACAATACTGACAACAGTATCTGATGGGTAAAGGTTGCATGGCAAAAGCTGGTGACAACCAAGGGAAAAGGAATACCTTCAGGTGTTCTACCTCCAACTTATGGGTGATGTTTGTAGACGGTCGGGACTCTTCCACATTACAAATCCAGTCACTTGCAGTGAGATTTAAGGCTTATCACAACTGAATGCAATGCTTTGCTTTTAGTAATCATAATAACAGAGGTTATCTCAGGCCTGTGTGCTTACGGTTAAATTATCTGCTTCTTTTAAGGGCAGAGGAATATTTGCCAGTGATAGGAAGGACTAGAAGTAAGGGCAGAACTGTCTCACATCTCCAGCTACCAGTACTGAAGTTTAAATGCCTTTTTAAAATCTCTTTATGTAATGGGGTAGGTAGGAAGCAGCACAGTGGAAAGCAAAAATAACCAGTGCAAAAAAGGAGTGTTAGACTAAGCTTTGTCATGTTTTGGACCCTGGAGCTTCACCTGGTTATGTGGATATAGAGCCAAATAACTTGTCCAAGAAAGCCTTCAAAAAATTAGTCTGATCTTTACTTGCACACAAATTGTTGGAGAAGCTCTTATTTTCCTTGTTTCCAGGGGCTCAATCATTGCAAAGGGCACTGCAGGCAGCCAGTAACTGGAGCAGTAGTACAGTTATCACCAACCATTTGCTTTCCATGTCAACTTGCTTTATTCTTTTACCCCGAGGCATCACTGCATTGCAGTTGCCCTAGAAGCTGGATGGTGAATACCCTCTGCCATGCCTGTTTGGTCAGTGGTTTCTAGTCAGCAATTGCAGCATGTATTTTTTCATTTGCTTTGGTTTTCTTTTATTAGTGCTAAATTGGGTGAAATGTTGAATACTGCCAACTCAGGAGCAAAAACAAAAACTGCAGCAGAGACTGGTTGGCCTCCCACAGCACCAGGCATTTGCAGAAGAAGGGCTTAGTCCTGAGCCTGCATGTTGTCAGCTTGCCAGTTGTTTAACTGCATGTGTGTGGCAGGGCTGAGAGAGGAGCTGTTGATGCTTCCATGGCAGCAGCCAGCCTTTGGCCTCGTGTGGTGCCCCACCAAGATGAAAAGGCAAATGCAGGCAAGTTTTCCAAAAGAAACCACCTGCCATCCTTCCAGAAGCAAGGCTTGCTTGCTAGGGCAGCCTCTGGGCGTTCAGGAGTTCTGTTTAAGAGTAGATTTTATTCCAATATTTTGGTTTTGACAACTCTGTGCTACATTTTTTCCCCACCAAGGATGCTGACAACCATTCCAATTTTATTTCACATGTCAACACTCAAAACTCAGTGCAACTTCAAAGCAAAGGGAAGATCAATGGGTCTAGTGCAACCTGAATAAATTGAACTGGTGTGCTCTAACCACTGAGAACTCTTCTTTTTTTTAATTGCATTCATTGTGTGTAGTCTCTTGGTTTGTGAGCAAGATTTTGCAGTGTCACTCAGTTCATGTTTTATTCTATATATTATACTGTTAAATAGACTTCACTTTTTTTCTTTTGTCACTGTCACATTTCTGTTGTTTGTTTCTTTTCCTGCCAGCTGTCAGGGCATGAAAAGGTATGGATCCTAGCGTGGAAAATTTCCTTTCAACTTCAGCATTTGTATTCATAATGAGCTTATGCAGTTTTGTGTGGGTTTTTCTTTGTTTGCTCTTTTTTCTTTCTCAACTTATTTTGCCCAATAAAATTTTGTGCTTGGTCTGTCTTTTGAAGACAAGTCAAGTACTGATAATATATTAACTGCTAGCAGTCCACTAGTGTAATAGATATATTGGAGCTGTGTGCAGTGACTTAGCTGTATCTAATTAGATATACTCTTTAGTGTAGAAAAATAATATTTTAAGATATGTGCCTTTATCACCGTGTGCTTTCACCCCTGCAAAGGCTGTCTGTCTGTCAAAGGCCAGAATTTTGAAAGCTTGTATTCTAATAACACATTAGAGCAATAGTATGGTACAACGGTCCAATGTTAACTTTACTGAAGTAGTTAATGAGAAGTGTTAAATTATAGATTTTTTGGTTTTTTAGGAAGAGCAGTTAGCCAGGTTGTTTCTAAGAGCACAGTTTAAATGTTGCTGTTGAAATTTCGGAATCGTGTTTATTTTTCTGCAGCTTCAAACAGCAGCATCCAGAAGTTACGTGGGCTCCAGTGCCCCAGCTGGAATAAGCAAAGATGAAGACACAAGTCGTTTTCATACCACCAAGAGGGGGAATTTCCATGAAGTTTTTAACTTGTCAGAAAGTGAGCGTCCGCTGGCAGGTACTACACAACAGGAAGGCCACAGCAGTAGAGTAGTTTCTAAAAAGCCAACGATTATTTAAAGCTGAATTCCCTTTCTGTGCAATGTCCAGGTGTAAGCTTCTGATTAAAATGACTCGCTTTAAATTAGGATGAATGGAGCTGGTTTCTTTCTTCCATATCCTTGCAGTTCTTTGAAAGAATGCACAGCTTGGTGTTCCTTTTGTGGTAATGCAAATGGAATAGTCAAGTTCAAGGGAAGAATTGCGTGGGTGGTTTGTGTTTTTGGTTTGGTTTTAAAGCCAGGGTTAAAACATAGAACCACCTCATTCACACTTTTCTTTGTAACCACTTGGTTTTAAAGCCAGGGTTAAAACATAAAACCACCTCATTCACACTTTTCTTTGCAACCACTTTTAGTTTTAGGTATCTAAAGCTTAATTTTCAGTGTTTTCTGCTGTCTTATTAGGAAACTGTTGGGGGTATTGCCCACCTCTTAAAGTAAAATTTCTTGTGATGACTTTTTCAGTGTGTGAAAATGGCTGGCGCTGTTGCTTGATTAACAGAGACAGGAAGATGCCTACAGACTACATCAGGAATGGAGTTCTTTATGTCACAGAAAAGTGAGTCATTACACTCCACACATCTCTGAGGAGGGAAGTGCAATAGATAGGAAATAAATTGACTCTAAAAGGAATCCTTTAACAATGTTTTAAAACAAGTACCTTTTCATAGTGTTTTAAAACCTAAAAAGAAAAAAAAAAAAACACCATAAGAGAGGGAGAGCTGAATCTGGGCTGTGGGTAACACTTAACAAATGTGATTTTGCCTTGGAAAGGCTTGCACAGGAACAGAGAGTAGCTCTGTGTTGTCAGTAGCTGCAGTTCTTGATGCAGATAAGATACTAACTATATGTATACTAAAAAGGAAACTTCAAAGCAAAGTGTATTTGGAGTTTTTGATCCATGGTTATTCAGCACAAAAACTTGATGGGTTTTTTTAAACCAAAGTGAATTATAGCTTCCTTGAAACAACATGGGGGGGGGGAAAAAAGGGAATTCAAGCCTTGGTTTCAAAACTAGTACTTGATTTTTATTTTGTTTAATCCTTACTAACCCCTTAGCCTCCCAGGGCTGAATAACCATCATCACTATAGCTTGGGTCTTGCACAGAAATTCCTTAGGGGAGAATGGAAGAAAGCTCATCTGTATGCAGTGTCCCCTAGTGATGGAGAGCACTCCCCAGCCTCCAGAAATCAGAGCTTTTGTCTGCATCACAATGACATGAAACTAACTCAGTATTTTCCATTAATCTTCTTTTTGGATGGTAAAAGATTTATAAGCCTTTTGAGATTGGGTATTTCAACTAGCTAAGGATACACATGCTTCCTGTGTCTTTAAAATGCTTGTCAGGTTTAACCGTTCCGTGCAGCAATACAAACAGAAGATTGGTGTTTTGTGTGTGTGACATACAATATATTTAGACTTTCAGACACCTTAGCCAGTTGCTAGAATTTACAAGTGTTTGCTCTAAATGAGAAGCATTAACTGAATTGTGTATTGTGTGCCTCTTGCTTGGTTTTGGAGCTGATTTTAACCTGTGAGATTTCAAACTTCAGAAGTGACAGGAGGGATATTGAGAGCTTTGTTTTAGAATACTGTATCAAAGTAAGCATTTTCTTTTATTTTCAGTTACTTGTGCTTTGAAAGCTCCAAATCTGGCTCATCTAAAAGAAATAAAGTTATAAAGCTGACGGATATAACAGATATTCAGAAGGTATGTCTGGTTTGTGTTGCAAGTGGGGGAGAAAGCTGGTTTTCTGTTCACTTAGTCATCTTTTGCTTTTCTGCTTATGTTATTTAAAAAAAAAAAAGCATACCTTTAATAATTTTTATAAGTAAAATGTAATTCTTTTATGAAGAATATTTCCAAGAACTGCTTGTTTAGCCACTTGGACTTAGCACAAGGGAACTCACTCTGAGCATAAAACCAAAGTATTTTACTAAACCCTTACATTCCTGAATTATTTTAAAATTCAAGTTGTATTGTTTCTGAACTCCTGTGTTGACTAGAGCTGTGTAGGCTTTAGCAGGAGTCCTGTGATGCTGACTTCAGTTTGGGTGTTGATGTCGGTAGGTGCACGTCTTAAAAGTCAGAGGGATGAGGGATTATTGTCAAAGGAGAAAAGTAAATCATTAGAATAGCCAGACTGGATCAGACTGGAGTTTCATCTGGTTGGGATCCCATCCCTAACAGGCAAGAAGCAGATGGTTGGAAGCACAGCAAGTATAATGGGAGCCTTCCTCTGGTCAATTTTCATCCACCTGCACTGACCAATAGCTTTATTGGCCTCTTGTATCACTCTATATGGCATTTAATGTCACTTTTTTGTTACCCTCTCTGAACTTGGCCTCTCTGAACTCTTAAATGCAGACACTCCTGTTTTCTATTACATCCAGTGGCCTCGATTGCCACAGATTAAATTGTGCTGTGCAAAGAAACACCTCAGCCCAGTGTCTACTCCTTAAGTATCTCCAGATGTTCAAATGAGTTCCTTCTATTTATATCGTGTGCCTGTAAAGGAGACAACTTGTGCATAACTTGAACATTCCTGTTGGAATTAATAATTAATCTTGATGGATTTTTAAACATCATACTTGAAGTAATGCTGACTTGTTGTTTAGTAGATGTTTACTGCCATAAAGGTCCTTTTGCATCTGTGTAGGGTTTTTTTTAATGAAGAGGAGACAGGCATCATACAGCCAAACATAAAAACATCCTGTGCCTAGTTTTGCTTGGGAGGGAGAAATCCAGGCCAGACCTGGGGTACCTTCCCAATTGGGGATATTCCCCAGTTCAGCCAACTGTATTCTTTCTTAGCATCACAGACTTTCTTTACAAAAACCCACCACCTGCACATAGTCTGTCTGTTTAATATTTGAAAAGCAGCTTTTCCTGTTCTGCTTGCTGCTTCTTTAAGCAGTGGATGACTGTTTCTTCTAGGGGAGCCTGCAGGTGGTGCTCCCAGGCAGGCACACTCCCACGTGTGTATACACACCTAGGGCTGGGCTGTCCTGCCTGCCCGTGCCACCCACCCCACCAAGGGCCCTGCCACTGTCACTGGGCAAGGCCCCACGTGCCGTGGCGGTACCGAGGTGCTCCGGCTGGGGCTGGGGCTGGCTCCAGCAGGCAGGCTGGGCAGGCTGGGTGCCACCAGGCTGCACGGGAGGAGCTGCAGGTTCTCACTGTGCAGTCAGTGCTGTACCCATTGATTCTGGGGTCAAAGAACAGCATCTAGCCTCTTCTTTTTAATAGAGCTCTGTTAGTTGTGGCTGGGAGGGCACACCAGTGACAAGTTGTGTAGCCCTCTCAGCACCCCTTGCAATTGTTGGGTAGGTAAGACAGCTTTTGGTCTATATTGGTTTTTTTCTCTTTTTAGTATAAAGTACTCTCTGTTCTTCCGGGGTCCGGGATGGGCATTGCTGTATCCACACCATCGACACAGAAGGTAAGTAGCTGGCTGTGTCTGTTGCTGGGCTTACCTTTGTGCCCTTTTTGTCTTCCTTCTTTGGCCAGCACCACAACACAAAGGCTTTTTTTTCCTTATGCCAATGGGGTTTTTACGTTGTGGTTGTGCTTGTTTTTCTTTTTTTAATTCAATTGTCTATTATTCAGTATATTTGACTTCAAAATTTTAATTTAAACATTTAGCTTGTCCTACTGCATCTGGACTATTTTACTCTAACACTTCAGAAAGATGTGGTTCACTAACTGCTTCACTGACTCCACTGACTGTTCCCCAGCATCCTTCCTCAGGAGCGTGGGGACTGCTCTGCTGTGCAGTCTGACATGAAAAGCTGATGGGTTGAGAGTGTCTTTGGGTGAGGAGGCTTTGGGTTGGAAGGGCCTGGCCCTCAGGTGCAGTTTTGCTGTTTCAGTGTTCTGGTGCTAAAGATTTAAGTTTCTCTAGGCCTCAGGCATCCTTTGGGCAACTGAAGCGTTTCTTAACATATCACTGAACCTTATGTTGAACTAGTCACCTATAAATAACTTCTCCAAGTCACATAACTGTTGTACAAGGCATTCTACTTGTTATTTGATATTGAGGAGTGTTTCTTAGTTAGAAATATTAAAAATATTTATTTAGGTGAATGAACATTTTATGAATTGAAATGAAGAGACATGGATAAAGATTTTTAGAAATCTTTAGTGGAGTCAGAGGTCAATAAGGAAAATATCATTCCCTGAGTGGATGTAGAGGAAGGAAAAATGAAGTGTTCTTCGTGGCTTAATACTCTGTGCAGATGTGTTTTATTCAATGACTGTTTTAAGAAGATGAAGAAGTGGAAAAAATCTTAGAAACTCTGCCATATATCCAAGGATTTACTGGAGAAAGATTCTTGTGTCTTTTATTCATGCACTTTGAGTAGAGTTCTTCTCCTATTCCTATTGATTTGGACAAAACAATACCTAGAGGAAGATGTTTCCTTTCCAGACTGACCTGATCTTTTTTTTCTGTTATTTAGCCTTTGGTGTTTGGTGCCATGGTACACAGAGATGAAGCTTTTGAGACAATATTCAACCAATATGTGAAAATAACCTCTGCATCATCAAGCAGTGAAAGCTAGTATCTTATCTTAGAAGATTTAAAGGAAACTTCCTTATTTTACAACTTGGTAGTGAAAAAAAAAGAACATCCTCATCTATTTTGCAATAATTTTTTCTTGTCTGGTGGTTTATATTCTATCTGTTACATAAATCAAGTGTATTTTATATATGCCTTCATGTTTGTTTTTAAGGTTTTTGTAAAAAAAAAACAAAACCAAAAAAAATTACACAACAGTGAAAGTGCTATCATCACGATTAGCCTTGCACATTAAGCACTTTTAATGTTTATTTACTGACATTAAAAGTTGGGGAGATGCTTGGAGATCTGACTAAATAGTGAAGTGGAAAAGACTGATCCCTTTAACTCCACTGATATCATTAAGGGATACACGTGTCCCTTATCTTAGTTATTTTCCCCCTGGATGTGAGAATGATGACTGCAGCAGCCTGAAGTCTCTTCTTCAGCTCAGAGTTTTAAACTGGGTTCTTCATTAAAACTGATAGCAACACCAAGGAAGTATTATCACCCTAGTATTTCCATATTTGTAACTGCACTTCAAATAACTCCTCCTTGCTAGTTTTTGTGTTGCAGAAGGATATTTCACCCATTTAGTTAGGCTCAGTTTTCCCTGCACAGACATTTAAATTGCTTATACAGCGAATTGGAGGAGCACGTTTGTAATGATATCTTCCTTTCCTAATTAACCAAGGAGGAAGGAAGACAGGCAGATACTTTTTATAAAAGAGGGCATGAAAATGTTGTTCCTAAAATGTTAGGCGTCATATATTTGTATTTCTGTAGATACTTATCATAGAAGGGCTCAACTATTGTACACGTTGTATGTACGAGGTGTTTGTATGTTAATGCATAAAAGACTTGCAGGCTTCTTATGTTGGGGGAGGTGGGTATAATTAAACTGAACTGAGATGTGGTGTCTTTATTTTATAATTTGACTTTTCTCTTGAGTTACCTTGTAATAAAGTAGCACTATAGTATAGCAGCTGAAAGCACTAGTTCCTTTTCAAAACATAATTTGAGGGGCATGGGTATGTTGCTATCTTTCCCCTTAAAAAATTAAATTTTAGTAACAGTTAAACTCCACTGCTGGGTAAAACAGGAAGGTAAAACTCCTCTAAAGTCTCTCAGGCCTTTCTAGGAGCCAAGCACATACTGACCTTTGTCTTTAATATTAGAAAGGTTTTATACTTTATATAATAGCACCCATCTGAGAGGTTTAGAATTTGCATTTTCATGAAAGCACAGTAGGAGTTAAACCAAGCCTTCCAGGATGTCTTTTCCTTTGCTGTGTCTTTTGAGTTGAGTAGTGTGGATGCCTTGAAACATTACATGAATGTCCCCCGAAAAAGCAATGGGGATGCAAATTCTTATGTAAAACTGGGACTTAATTTCATGGATTTTTCTTTTTCTTTTTTTTTTTTTTTTGAACAGCAATTTTCATTCTTTATAGGGAAAGGGATAAAATGAGGGAGGGAGAGGGAAGACAAGCATCAGGGGGTGTTTATCTCTTGGCACAGTTTTTAACAAGAATCTCTGAACAAATGCAGTAATGAAGAAGGTGGCAGTCAAACTGTACAAACCTCATTTCAGTCTGCCCAAAGGAGGTGTGACATGAAGAACTTAATATGAACTTGATAAGAAGAAATACTGTTGAGTACTGTGATGTCGTTGGGTATTGTAAAGCGAAACACTGATGGGGTAAAACTTTTGCCCTGGCTGGGAATGTGAACAAGAATGGGGCAGAATCTGCTGTAATGGGTAAAATGCTGTTTTAAAGAATCTAAAGTTCTCCCTTTAGAGCAGCCCTTGAACACGTCTTTATGTGCCCTGGAAAAGGAGTGCATTTCCAGCTCCTCCTTGGATATGGTGGAACTCGGGGCCTGAAAACTTACAATATAAGTGAAGCTGGTGGGAAATGCATTTTGCCACCATCTAATATGGATGTAGCTTGGCAGTTTATGGTTTTCTCACTTTACATATGCAGGTTTTATGTTTAAGTAAAAATCCTTGATGTTAAATTTTTCTCATCAAACCTACTTCAATCACTTAATCTCTTTTTATAATTGCTGTGCATTATCACTTGGCTTTCCTTTCCAGAAGTTTCCTTGAATAGTGAGTGTGACTAATAAATAGGCATTAAAATAGCTTAATGATATATAAATCTTAATTAGATTAATTCATTTTGTCTTAAGGAAAAAATCCCATGGGTGTGTTTAAGGTGTTATCCTTTTTTTTGAAGAAACAGAAAACTATATTTTTTACAGAGAGCATGCTCTTTTTCTTATTTTTATATCATTTTCAGGTGTAATTTATACCTTCACTCTGATCATAACAGCAATTTCAGTAGGAAATCAGTTGACTTGCACTTATTACCTCCTCTTTCTCCCACCCTTTACTGGCTGACCCTAGTCTATAGGGTTGTCCTAGATTCTGGTTCCTGGAGGAGCTATAGGTCCTGTGCTGATGGTGCTGGGACAATTAACCATATCTAAGCTTCAGAGAGGAAGAAAATAAATCATTATCCTTTTCCCAGACTGGAATGCCTCATGCAGACAATATACTCTTAACATATTTTTTCCGGACAAAGAAATTAGAAACTTCTTATAAAATATCATGTGTTGATGTTTGAAATGAATCTGCACTTTAACAATGTGAACTTAAAAGTTAGCAATTCTTAAAGCAGTAAACCTAGTGCAAACTGCAATGCAACATAGTTTCATTCTAATATATAGAAAAGGACTGGAGTTTTTTTAAACAGAGTTGTAATATAGCTGACAAACATCTATGTAGGTATTTCACAAAGTTCACTTTACATGGGGGTGTCCAGGTTCCTGCTACAAAGCTGCTCCTGTGGCATACATGACGTGTAACCTCGGTGTATTTACTCCTGCTTTTCCTCCTGCCACCCCCTCCTGGGTTTGGAGGGCAGGAGGGTATGGAGAGTGGGTAAATATATACTTGACTTGTATAATTACACTGAAGTTCTCACTTCAAATTCTAATCTTCCTACATGGTTTGCAGTACAGCCTGCCATACTTCAGGAACAGGCTGGGCCCTTCCACTTAATGTGAAGTGTTACTTTTTAATAGCAGGAAGTGATGTTCTTGTCATTCTGTCTGTCTCTTTGCTGTTTATATTTGCAGTTCTGTTGATGTTTGTGGTTCATTGCTGGATCGTTCATGCACAATTGGATTCAACTTCTTTAGAAGTATATCAGTTAGTTTGAGTCCCTTTTAAAGAGGAAAAAAAGGGAGATGAAAACTGACTGCTTTAATTCTTTACTGGTGACCGTTTCAATTGACAAGGTAAAAAGCTGAAATATGAAATCATGCCTTCCTGTGCACTGTAGCTGTTGTGAGGCAAGATTGAATGAAACAAGCTATTTATTAGTAGCAACATCACACCGAATGCCAGCAGCAAAACCCGACCCTTGTTCCTGCAGACAAAGAGAAAAGAGACTTTATCCAATTGTGAAGAGATGAAAGGATGTACTTTTTTTTGGCTACTTAAACTTGTATTAAAAATACTGGTAGTTTTTATTGAATTCTGTACATTTTGGCAGATGTTTAATTTCTACTAATCGTTGAAATATAATGGATGTTAAAATTTTTATGTCTGAAGTTTGAGTCTATATTTTGAAGTTGTAAATAATTCATTATCAGTGTAACTTTTGTTTGACAAAAGACTTATACTGTATGAAGAATTGAAATAATGAGATGATTTGCCCTGTACATTTTTTAAGGAAATCTTGTTTGTTTAAAAAGTCTTGTATAAATTATAATTTTTATTTAAATAAACCTAAAACTGCTTTGTGCTAATGCTTTTTACAAACTTTAATAACCTACCTGTCAGAACTACGACCAATTTCTTGGAATGAGGTGAGTTAGTGCTTTTGGCAGATTCATAGCCACCCATCACTGGGAAGGAGCTCGGTGAGTTTTGCTTCTCACGGCCCAAGGACCATACTTTTTATTTTAAATAATCCCATTAATGTATTTGAGACTGTAAGTATGGTTTTGGTTAGATCTTTACTGTAAGTACACCTGTCACTTTGTAATCATACAGGTAATTTAAGTGATGAAAAAGCAACTAGTGATGTGTAAGGTGCTGCCACCACAGGAGGGCACGGGTGACACGAGACTGCAGGATTGTGAACTCCATCTGCCAGAGCTCCTCTATAAAACAGATAGCTGCAGGCTGTGCTGCAGGTGTCCTCTGGAGGTGAGGGTGCCCCGTTTCCAGCCCGGAGCTGCAGGAGGTGTGCTGGGGAGCAGCATTCCACACCCAGGTGTGGCTGTTGGGCTCCAGCACGGCCGAGTGCTGAGGCTGAGCCTCTGGCTCTCTGCCCTCCCCTGGCGCCTGCCGAGGGGTGGCCGGGCTGCCTGGTCCCTGCTGGACACCAGGGGGGCACGGGCCCTTGTCTGCCCGTGGGAATGGCATACCAGGAGGGAGCTGCCTGCTCATCCAATCCAGAGCTATTCGTTTGCCTCTGCAGTGCTCCTTCCTGGGTTTTGCTCAGCTCAAAGATCAGTCCTGGCGCAGATCCTCCAGTCATGGATGTATGCTGCTCCATTCATTGTGGTGTTGAGTTTTCTCACGGTGGCAGCAATGCATCTGGGGGTATAGTGGTGCTTTTAAGCTGCTGGTTTTATGTGTTCTGACAATACTTTACTTCTTCTGAGAATACTTAACCTCCCTCGGGTATTGCTTTCATGCCTTTTCCATTAATTGCTTTCATGCCTTTTCCATTACAAATTTGTGCAAGATGAGTTGTATCTACAGAAGTACTCACAGAGATTTAATTCAGCCTCTCCTGCCTGAAGCCTTGTGGAAGGGGAACGTGGAGCCTGTAAGTCTCATTTTGGCCATAGACTGCATGCCACTTGGGAGGAGGGGATGGTCATTTGGAAAATTACACTTGCTTTCTCAAGCTCACTTTAGAGCCCATGAAAATACTAGAACTGAACTGAATGAGTGGTTTACCTGCTTGCTGTGTAACTCTTGGCACCTATGCAGGGAAAGGAGGCGTGCCAGCCGTGCCCACGGGGTCACGGGCACACACTGGCTCCATGCAGTGAGCAGGTAAAAGCTGCCTTGGGCAGTGTCCAGCTTAATGGTAAAGAACTTCTGGCATTCAGCTTGGAGAAGCTGAGGGGGTTTT